ATGCAAGGTTGCTGTGATCCAGAACCAACTCAAAGGCACTTAACAACAGTGGCTTTGGAGGGCTTTGTAAACAAGGCCATGAAGTTGTAGTTTTTATCAAGAGGCCCTCTCCATCCAGAGCAGAACGTTTCTATAGGTTCCCTGCACTTTGTGAGTTTTCATGTCTCCCTAGGCTCCACCTCACAACACCGGGTCCCTCCCTGAGGCCCATGACTGGTCTCCTTCCTGACACCCACTCTCAGCCAGGATGATCTGGGCCTGGTATGGAGCCAGCCATCCTTGGCTGGAGTGGTGGGGGTTGCAGTGGGGGTGTGGAGGAAAGTATCTTTGTTCTGGAAATCTTCCACTGCAGATGCTCTTCCCTGGTGGGCCACTCCAGCTTCATGGAAGTAAAAAATCACATAAAATCACTATCAGCCTTTCCGTTTCCACTCAATTTATCAGAGTGGAGGGGAAATCAGGAAGAGGGAAAAGCCTATAAAATGTGGGTGCATGCTGTTGTTAGTGTTAGGTGCCATCAAGTCATTTCCTAGGTAACAGAGTAGCACTGCCTCTTTGGGTCTCCTGGGTTGTCATCTTTATGGAGATAGATCACCACGTCTTTCTTGTACAGAACCACTGCGTGGAGGGATTGAACCACAAACCTAGTAAATGTGTACTTAATTAAATTATATGTCAGTACTAAAAAGCCCCTGTTTTATAAGCCTCCAGTAACCAAAACTACTTATCATTGCTAGTTCAAGCAGATTTACAACCTGAAATACCCACCTTGTTAGTTGTCTTGGGGAAATGGGGTTGGGGGGGGTAGCACGATGTTTGATAAGGGAGCCTACATCCGAATTGCCTAGCATATATGTTTGCAAATTGTTGCCCATTTTATCCTCACATCAGCCCAGTGAGACAAGTGAGATTTATTATATGACCAATTTATGGATGTACAATCTAGATATTAAGACATTAAAGGAATTATACTTGACTAGCAATTGGTTTGAAAAACACAGTAATTTCTTTGTTGTTGCTGAAAACATCTCCAACATTGCTCCTATAAGCAAGATAAGCATGGGCTTACTTGTGCTTACTTACTAAAGCAAAATGAACAGTTTCATGTCTTTTCACTGCCTCAAAGACTCTGCATCTAGGTATAGAATCTGTCTCTCCCAACCCTTCAGCACTTTTCTACAGAATTGAAGCCTCTTTTCAAATTTACAATCCCTGCTAGGGATAGAGGTAAACATGGACTTACTTGTGCTTACTTAGCTTAAAAGTTTTCACCACATCAAAGTAAGTGATCACAAGTCATCTTGTGCTTACCTTAAAACCCTCACAACAACCACAAGAGGTAAGCAGTTGTTAGATGCCATCAAGTCGGTTCTGACTCGTAGCATCCAGGAGAAGGAAACATTGCCCTGCCCTGGGTCATCCTCACAGTCGCTTCTAGGTTTGAGCCCATTGTTGCGGCCACTGTATCAGTCCATCTCATTGAGGATCTTCCTGTTTATCACTGACCCTCCGTATTACCAAACACAACAGGTCCCTCCTAATAACATGTTCAAAGTATATGAGATTAAGTCTCACCAACCTAACTTCTAAGGAACATTCTGGCTGCACTTCTTGCAAGATTTCTTTTGTTTGTTTTTCTGGCAGCCCATGGTATATTCTGTATTCTTCACCAATACCATAATTCAAGTGCATCAATTCTCTGGTCTTACGTATTCAGTGTCCAGTTTTCATATGAGGTGATTGAAATTACCATGGCTTGGGTCAGGTGCACCTTAGTCCTCAAAGTGACATCTTTGCTTTTTAGCACTTTAAAGAGAATTTTGCAGCAAATTTGCTCAGTGCAATACATCATTTGATTTCTTGACTGTTCATTTCATGGGTATTGATTGTGAATACAAATAAAATTAAATGTTTGACAGCTTCAGTCTTTTCTCCAGTTATCATAGTGTTGCTTATTCGTCCAGTTATGAGGATTTTTGGTTTTTGTGTTTTTTTTTTTTATATTGAGGTCTAATCCATACTGTAGGCTATCGTTTGTTTGTTTTTTTATCTTCACCAATAAAGACTTCAAGTCATATCTTTAATGTGGTGAAACCCATATGAAATTGTTCCCTACAGAATACTAAGCGCAAGTCAGGCAGTGATTACCTTGCTTATTGGGTAATCTGCCTCTGTGTATAAACACTGTACACCCAGAACTGTCCTCACCAGCATAGTCATCATTCTGTTCTGGTGCTCCTCTCACCTGCTGCCCTTGGGCTGCCTGTCCCTGCACCTGCACTGGGAAGGCTGGGGCTCTCTTGGGGGCAATTACATTCCCAAGCCTTGGCTTGGTGAGGGCTGGGGGTGTTTAATTCCTTGGCTTTGGGTCAAAGATATTCCAGGGAGTTCCGAGAAGTACGAGATGTCTTTAAACTGCTTCCAGTAGCCCTAACTTAGCATTCACAGTGGGAGTGACTTCGTCCCAGCTCAGTCATTAACTTGCTACAGTACCCTGGACAGGGTACACGCCTCCCTCCTCTGCAAGGAGGATGCGCGGGTGTGCATTTCAAGAGGATCACAGACCTCCATCCATATGAGTACATCTGTGCAACCTGTAAATCCACTGAACCCTTGGGCCAAATGCTCTCTGAAACTAAAGGAAGTTTTAAAGAACAACTTCAGTCGTTTAGTTTCTGGTTACCAGTTTACCATTTGCTGTCAATTCTGACTCGTGTGTCAGGAGTAGAACTGTTTTCCATAGGGTTTTCAATGGCTTCTTTTTTAGAAGATTTCCAGATCTTTCTCCCAAGGTGCCCCTGTTGTTGTTGTTAAGTGCCTTCAAGTCGGTTCTATATAGCTTTAAATCTTCCGATTTGAAGGCTTTGAATTTCCAAGGCTGTAAATCTTTGAGGGGGGAGAAAAGCCTCAGCTTTCTCCTGTAGCAGCTTGCAGGCTCGAGTCACAGACCTTGTGGTTCACAGTCTGTTGCTTTTCGTTTGGAGCCACCACGCTACCTCTGGCTAGATTCAAAACTCCAACCTTCTAGTTAGCAGCCAAATAGATGAACTGTTTTCTCCTTATAAAATAGATCAAGGGACTTCGTTTTCTCATTATAAAATATATAAAGATTTTTTTTTAATAGTAAGAAAATAGATAACCAAAAAAGGTAAATTATCATAAACCTACTACCAGCAAACTATTATTAATTTAGTTAAAATGCATCTAGTCTTTCTGCCTCTCTTGCTTTTGAAATTATATATATATACAAAGCTAATAATCTTATCAGATGTGGTGCTGTAAGATAAGCACTGAACCACAAGGTTGGTTTGAATCACAAGGTCGGCAGTTCAAACTCACTGGCCACTCCTTGGAAATCCTATATAGGGTCACTATGTGTCAGAACCGACTCAACAGCACTTAACAATAAATGGACTTCTGGTGTGGCACTGTAGGATAGGCACTGGACTGCTAACCACAAGGTCAGTGGTTCAAACACAGCAGCTGCTCCTCTGAAACCCTATACAGAGTCAGTATGAGTTAGAATCAACTCAGTGGCACTTAACAACAACAATGTACATATATATAATACATCCACTTTTTCTATCAGGAGCATTTCTCATGTTTCTTAAATTTTATTTGAAAACATAACGTCTGCACAGTAATTGGACTCTTAGTAGTTCTAAAATGTATTTATTTAGCCATGCTCTGATTGTTAACATTTATGCTATTTTCCAATGTATTAGTACTAGTATTATATTGCAAACACACCTGATTATTTCCTTCATTTAAAAGTGAAATTTCCAACATTACTCAGAAGGAGGCCTTAATTTCTCCATGACAATTTGCCCCCCAGAACGTGAGGGAGGGCAGAGAGAACTAAATTAAGCCCACGTTCTCAGGTAGTGTCCTTGAATCGGCAGCCTCAAGTGGGATCACTGTTTGCTGTAAGTTAACAGCCGTCTCAGGCCACAGCAACCATACAATTTTCCAGACTGGCCTGGGCACATTTTGAAGTGGCTAAACTTGTTTGGGAGTCTACTGCCCCCATCCTTGAAGTGCTCTGGGCTGCCTGTAGCGCTGACTCGCCTCCACACGCCTTGCCTGGAAGGTGTGTTGGCAGCTCATCTGCCCTTGGAATTCATCTGTCTTCATGTGCCCAGGTGGCACAATAAAGTGCTTGGCTGAAAACCAAAAGTTGCGCTGTTAGAACCCACTTTCTCCAAGGGAGAAAGATGAGGCAGTCTGCTTCTGTAAATAATCCAGCCTTGGAAACCCTAAGGGACATCTCCACTCTGTCCGACAGGGTTTCTATGAATCTGGATTGACTGAACAGCAAAAGGACATCACATCTCATCAGCTGGCTCTAGACTTCCCATCCACAGCTTCATGAATCTGTTACATGCGTTTATGTGAATGGGCTCAGGGAAACAGGCTGAGTCCAGTGGTAGGAATGTCAGACCCACTGAGCAGGGAGGGGGCCCCCTGTGCTAAGGATTATGCTCCAGAGACGAAGGGCAGTAGGAGGCCGCCTTGATGCCCATTTGCAAGAGAAGCCACCTGCTCTGTCTCTTGGAGGGTTACTCCTTCAAAATGTCACTCAAAGGAAAGAATAGTATCTCACTGAAGAGACAAATCCATTTGTCTTGAGACTTGCTAAACAGAAGGAATCCTGGGTGGCACAAACAGTTAAGTATGATCCAGAAGGTTGGTGGTTTGGACCCACCCAGTGGCACATTGGGAGACAGGCCTGGCCCTCTGCTTCTCAAAGATTACAGCCTTGAAAACCCTATGGAGCAGTTCTACTCTGTACTTATTGGATTACCATGAGTTGGACTCAAAGTTGATGGCAATTAGCAACAACAACATAGTGTTTGCTTTGGAGCCCCCAAGAATCAACTATTAAATACTCTGGACAGGTGTGCTCTTCTCTGGGTCTTAGATCTGCTACTGGTGATGGGATATGGGTGCCCCTCCCCACTCCAAGCACACTCTAACTGCCTTTTCTCTTGGCCCTACAGTCTGATGGCACCATCTTGGCAATTGCCCTGCTGATCCTGTTCCTGCTTCTGGCTCTGGCTCTCCTCTGGTGGTTCTGGCCCCTCTGTTGCACCGTGGTAAGTGTCCCAGAGTCTTCCACCTCACCTGAGGACTTAGCGTGTTCGGTGTAAAGGATGGAATAAAGTGAACAGGACTATGTCGGGGGAAGTACAAAAAGTATTTCAATATGGAAAGCAAATCTTGAATGTTTTTTATATAATTTATACAAAATGTATGCAAATTAATACCAATCATTGGAATCTTGAGGGTCAATATGGGGAAGGGAATGGGATTTACCAGTAGGCACACCCTTTGGATGGGTCAACAGGGGTGGCCACTTGGATCTGGAGTTTTGGAAGACTATACATAGTCTACTGCCAGTGATGAGTGCTGTTGGACATGTAAATGCATGTGTGTGTAAGGGAAGTACTCACACAACTGGATGACTCTTCTAGAACCACCCTGGTTGCTAAGCAACAATTCTGTCCATTTGAAAGTGCCTTGGGTACCTTTATTTTTAACAATAAGGAGTGGCACCTATCTCTTTGACTAATTTTAGCAAACATTTCTAGGACACACCTACTGTATACCCAACAGTAGTAGGCTAAGTTCTGCAGCTATAAGATCTGTGAGAACCCAACTCCTCCTCCTTATTTTCATCTAGAGTCACCACATAGCTCTCTGGCCATTTGGTCCCCAGATAGTTTTGGGCATGGAATAACTTGCCATGTTTTCTGTGTCCAAAAGATTGTGTCTACTTGTCAGTTTTTATTATCAGGCCCCTTGGGAAAGGCCAAAGTCATAGCCACATTAAGAAACAAGCCATTAGCTCTATGGTCTCCAGTTTTGCCTTTATGCAAAATCAGAGCATACTCTAATGCTCAGTGTTTGAAGTGAATGTTGCTCCAACACCAATGGTGTCTTTCAGTCCCTGTACGTTAGTTCTCCTATGGAGGGCCCAGCAGGGCACAGTAGACTATGAGCTTCTCCAGAGTGCTAATCTTGGAAAGGAAGGAGAAATGACTTAAAATGACATTTTAAAGAGGTGTATCTTAGTTATCGGGAGTCCTGGTGTGGCGCTGTGGGCTAATGGGTCAGACTGCAAGGTCATTTGAACTGCAAGCTCACCAGCTTCTCCTGGAAACCCTATACAGGGTTGCTATGGTTCAGAATCAACTCAACAGCACACAACAATAATTCTAAGTTATCGAGTGCTGCTATAACAGAAATATTACAAGTAGATCACTTTAACAAACAGAAATTAACTCTCCATATAGGAGACTAGAAATCCACATTCAGAGTGCAGCTCTAGGGAAAGTCTTTCTCTCTGTGTTGGCTCTGGGGAAAGGGCCTTGTCTCTTTTTAGCATCTGTAGGCCCAGCATTCCTTGAAGAGCTACTTGCATATTGGCATCAGTCTTCCCCTAGATCTAAGACTTCACAGTGCAGGGGTCCCTGGTCCAAAGGATGCAGTCCACTCCTGGCTCTTTTTTGTGGTGGTAATAATTCCCTCTGAGCTCTGCTTGCTGGTTTAATCACTTTGACATCTCAAAAGGGATTCTAGGTACAGCCTAATCCTGTAGACTGCATCCAACATCAGTAACATAATACAAGGGAGAATTTACAACACTTAGGGTAATTACATCAGATCAAGGTTAATCACATTAAGCTACACACCATAAGGGAAGTGATTACCTTATATTAGATCTCATCATGGAGGATAACACGTCTTACTGCAGAACCACTGAGAATCCAGGCTCAGCCAAGTTGACACAAAACCTTGACTATCACAAGGTGGTGAATGAATGAATGGTTTATGAAACTTGGCCAGGGTGTGGACCCTTGTGGCAGGGACTTGTGAGAGGAGGCTCTTGCACTAGCAGAAACCTCAATTGTTGAAGGATAGAAATGACTTGTAGTAGACACGAAGCATGGTGCAGGAGGGACTGGGTCAGTTAGTGCCATCCAGACTGGACTGATTACACCAATATCTTAAACAGATTCTTACCACAGCAGCCCCAAGAGTTCTGCTGTTGTAAAAGTTAAGGCAGCATAGTTATTTTATTTTGAGGGTAAAAAAATCCATGAGTCAGCAAGAGGGCTTTTATGGTGATTCAAAAGTAAGCACATTTTTCAAGTCCAGAATTCTTTAAATGAGAGAAAGGAAGAAAGAAACCCTTGCAGTGGGCTCTTAAAGACTGGGGTGAGGAGGGGTACCCAGCAGGCAGTGTACACGGGGCTTCGATTCCAGTTGATATCCCCCTTGTGTGCATAGTCATTTTGATTAATGCCAACAGTTGAGGACAGCCGAGGACAATAGGGACTCCTAGTGTGGTGTTGTAGGATCTGTGCTGGACTGTGAACCACAAGGTCAAGAGTTCAAACCTACCAGCTGCTCCTCAGAAACCCCATACAGGGTCGCTATGTGTCAGAACCTTCTAGCAAACTCTATCACTTACTAGCTTTGTGACCTTGGGCAAGTTTTTGAACTTCTCTGTTTCTCAGTTTCCTCATCTGTATGTTGTTGTTGTTGTTAGGTGCCATCAAGTTGGTACCAACCCATAGCGACCTTATGCACAGCAGATACATAGTGAGGACATTAAAAACACTTCATAGGTACATTGTGAAGATTAAAGTAATATCTATCTATACATATGAGAAGACTTAAAACAGTATGTGGAAAAGTGGAATGAAAAGATAATGCATTTTTTGTAGGAAGTTTTTAAAACCCCCTCATATAGAGAGAAAAAGGAGAGAACATCTATAAGTGGTGCAAATGGTAAAGCACTGAACTACTAACCAAAAGGTTAGTGGCTTGAACCCACCCAGAGGCAACTTGGAAGAAATGCCTGGCAACATGTTTCTCTGAAAGAGCACAGGCATGAACACCCTACAGAGCGCAGTTCTACTCAGACACATATAAGGTTGTGTTGAGTTGGAATTGACTCACTGATAGCTCTATACACACACGAGAGAGAGAGAGATTTAAAAATTGTTGGAGAAATTCCATTGTTGGTTTTTTTCCCCACTTTTTACTGTAAATTGAGCAAAGGTTTACACACAAGATCATCAGGTTTACATTCAACAAATCATAAACAGTTTCATCCCAATGATTGCAATCCCTTCCATGGAAAAACAGTTATCCCACTTCCTTCCTGTGGTTCCTATTAACATTCCACCCTCCTTCCCATCCATTATCTTTTTATTTCATGTTTTTATAAGTTTTTTGAAGCCCCCTCATATGTATGTATGTATGTGTGTGTGTGTGTGTGTGTGTATGTGTGTATACACAAATACATATATATAGAGAGAGAGAGTGAGTATTTGGAACAGCACCTAACACATAGTAAGCATCATGTGTGGTCAATATTGCTAAAAAGTGTTTTACTAACAGGATGTATTGCTGTTCTATATGGCATTCACTGTATATTCATTGGTGGGAAGCATCTCTCAAAACAAGCTTTTCATTATTGGAAATGGCTTTCCCCAAAGCCAGGTTATTTTGCAATATTCTAAATATTTTTCAATGAATTTATCTGGTTAAGTCCATGTTGCTTTGGAAAACAGCCAGAATGTCTAAATACTGTCTGATTTTCTCAGGCCCAAGGCTGTCTTTGCAAGGGAAGATCTTGGCGAGTTTCCTGTTTATGATCCCTATAAAAAACTTCCCCACCTCTGGGCTCCAATGCTTGGTGTGCCCCCAAATACTGCTTGTTGATTGCTTGCTGTCTTGATGAGTGATGGTGATCTGAGGGGAGCAGGATTAAACCATGGGCTTTCCGAAGGGGAGTATGAAGGAAGAAGAGCAAGCAGACCCTGAGAGCCCCATCAGAGAAAGCAGAACAAAGGCTGTTTCCCACCCCTCCAGTTAACTCCACACCCCGCTTCCCCCCCAAACAGTTTCCTAACTATCACAGGGCTTCCTTGTAAAATGTCAGTCCCAAACCTTCCTGTCACCCTCCTGCCCCTGCCCCAAGTATGGGTAATGCCCTTTGACCTGGAAGCAAAGATGCATCCCAATGATGAGAAAAGGACAGAAAACAGAAAAACCAAGCCCAGCCGACTGCCGTCAAATTAATTCTGACTCCTAGCGACCTTGTATAGGATTTCTGAAGCTGTAAATCTTTATGGAAGCAGAAAGCCTCCTCTTTCTCCCATGGAGTGAGTAGATGGTGGGTTTGAACTGCCCACCTTATGGTTTAGCACTCCAGTGCTTATCCTACAGAGCTCCTAGAAAACAGAATGTTGGGTACTGTTGAGTCGGTTCCAACTCATAGCAACCCTATGCACAACAGAAGGAAACATTGTCCAATCCTGCACCATCTTCACGGTTGTGGTTCTGTTTGAGCCCATTGTTGCTGTCGCAGAAAGAGACTGCTAAATATGGAGTCCATGAGGTTTGTCTTTGCTGTGTCCCTTCCTCCCCTTCTGCAAGGATAATCCATAAAACACTTAATAACCTGAAAGGGCCCCCAGTTTAACTAGACATTAACCCTTTAGTAGGTAGCTCAGAGGTAGTGGGGCCTTAATGGCAGAATTCTCACCTTCCATGCAGAAAATCCAGCATCCTGGTGTGGTGCTGTAGGATGAATACTGGACTGCTAACCACAAGGTTGGAAGTTCAAACCTACCAGCTGCTCCTTGGAAACCCTATACAAGGTCACTATGAGTCAGAATAGACTCAATGACACTTAACAACAACAACAAACAAGAAATCCAGATTCAATTCTAGGTCAATACACTTTATCCTTTTGTGTTGCTAAGATGCTGAACAGGTTTCAGTGGAGCGTCCAGATTAAGACAGACAAGAAAGAAAGGCCTGGTGATTTACTTCTGAAAACCAGCCAATGAAAACCTTACAGGTCATAACCAATTACAGGGAAGGTGCAGGACTGGGGCCGCATTTTGTTTCATTTTGAATGGAGTCTCCATGACTTGGAGGCTGGCTAGATGACAACTAAATACAACATAATCCCTTTAGTCACTTGACATGAGATGGCTCACAAAACAGCCTGCAAATAAGAGAAGACACTAAAGCGGCAATTTACTAAGCATACGGTCATTTGGAAATGTAACAA